GAAGATAAACAAAGGTAGAGAAGCAGTGGAGAGAGAGCGAGACAATAATTTCATTAATAATCAATAATACAATTGAATCGGCTCTTCCTTCCGTCTTTACCTCGGGGTCCTCTCCACCAACCCACCACTCAGCAAATGAAAATCTCTCCCTGAAATTCACTGACGAAGTCTCTCCACAGGAACCGGTTATGGCGCCCAACCTCCAGCATCAGTGCTGGCTATGGAGGTTGGCGCCAGCCTTCTTCAACCTCCTGATGTGACCAGCAGCATCTCCGATATCACCAGTGCCCAGGTAACTCAAGGTAAGCTTGTCACTCTCTCACTCCACGCACAAGTCCTGATCTCTCTCTCTCTCTCTCTCTCTCTCTCTCTCTCTCTCTCTCTCTCTCTCTCTCTCTCTCTCTCTCTCTCTCTCTCTCTCTAGCTATGGTGGTTCTGTCTTTCTTATGTGCCTCCTCTTGCACTCGCTGTAGCGGATCACTGTAGCACGTGCACTGTAGCGCATGCACAGCAGCGTGAGGCAGAATGATCCAGCCGCTGCGCCAGGCAACTCTTTTAAAGGGTTGACGAGCCTTGGCCTGCCCAGGTTGCGTCCTTTGACGGTCCAGATCTCTTGATCTGGGAAGCCCAGATTTGCTGACGGCCCGTGTGAGCTTGGACCCAGTGAGTGGGCCCTGAAATCCTCTGGAACAATGCGGGCAGCCTTTGATTGTCCATCTGATCTGTGGCCGTGGTTGGCTGCTGAGAAATCTCTGACTCTTGGTCTGCTATTCCCTGGTGGGCCTGACTCTTCAATTTCCAAGAGTCAACTGTCTCATGTGGGGGCACAGGTTGCCTCGTTCGACCCTCAACTCTATACCCTGGGACCCTATACCCCGGGACCCTATGCCCGGGGACCCTATACACCCGGGACCCTATACCCCTTGGCCCTCAGACTTTTCTTGGACCTCAGTTTCTTTTTCATCAAATCGCAATTGCGGATAACGGGAATCGAACCTATATCCCCTGCTTGGAAGGCAGACAATTTACCTTTATTCTATATCCGCTATTTAGTATTTACATATTGAATTGATTGACTCTGGCTCTTCTGGGTGAACGTAAAGTCTCCCTATCTTCACTCAAAGACTTAGAGGCAACGGTTCACTAAGTAAGATGCGATTTTCTATTATTATTATTTTTATTGTTTTATTTTTAAATCCATGCTGCCACACGATTTGATTGTTAGTCTTTGAAAAAGGCGAAAAGTTTTTCATAGTCAATTGAGAATGTTCTCAATCGTAAAAATGAATCCTAAGATTTTGAATATCGTAGTCAAAGAAATTGGCGAACAATCATGGAAAAAACAACAACAAAAAGGTACCAAAAAAAAAAAAAAAGCCTCAATTTTAATTCTTTTTTGGTCGGCGGCCGGTCAAATACAAAAGCCCTTTAGGGCCCAAATTTCCCATGTTGTGGGACTAGAGATGCGCCTTATGACCACTGAATCTTGACTTGGACAGAAGTTACTCGAGTCTTACGACCCTGGCCTATGTCTGTGCAGATTTGAACTGAGTTCATTGCACCACTTTTAGCACTCCGTACATGTTTTTCAAGCACGTAAATAACATGAGCGGGGACTGGCCCTTCCGCTCGTACCTGACTCTGGTCCTGGACCTTATGCTGCACCTAGCTTACGCCTAGACCCAACTGTGAAACTGGATCCTTTTCTACGCCCGTGCTTCTTATGGCGTGGCCATCCACGACGAGAGTATCTAAATAGTAAATACACTCCGTTTTGGCTAGTAGATCATGAACTGGGCTACTTGTGGCACCAGTTTCCCATGCGTTAGTGGCTCCTAAACTGGCCTACCATCATCGCAAGGTCATTCTTTTTTTTTTTTCTTTTTTTTTTTTTAATTATTATTAACAGGTCCTTATGGCCCTGGCTCCATTTCCATTCTGGGGAGCATCAGTCCAGTTCCTTTTCCACCGGCAAGTCAGGAAAAATAATTACATCATAGAACACCCTCACGCTTCCTTCCATCTGGCCGAAGGAACCCTGATCAGCATTGATTACTCCAACGTCGTGGAGGATTGCCTGTCAGCTTGCCTTGCTTCCATCTTTCCTCTCAGGACTACTAAAGGAGCCTGTCAGATACAACATGAATAGCAAGAAAGGACTGAGAAGCTGTGGCTGCTAGGTTTTCGATGGACTTACCCAGGTGTAGACCAGAGTCAAGACCTGGTGTACCTTTGGCTGGACCCAACTCAGCCCCGGACCCAACTATACACCTGGATCTTTCGCTTGACTGGCCCTAAGCCTCAACCCAACTCCACACCTGGACCGTTTGCTGTATACCTAATATAGGCCGATGTCTGACTATAAACCTCTCAGACCTACTAGGCTCTCAAACTTTAAGCCTACCAGCCCAGGTTTTCGATGGACTTACCTAGGTATAGACCAGACTCTAGACTTGGTGTACCTTTTGTTGGACCAAACCGAGCCCTGGACCCGACTGACTATACAACTGGATCTTTTGCCAGAGCGGACCTAAGCCTCAACCCAACTCCACACCTGGACCATTTGCTGTACCAAATCTAGGCCTATGTCTGACTATAAACCTCTCAGACCTACCAGGCTCCCTAACCACACGATCTGGACACTCTGCATGTTCAGCAGATTGTGCTTGAGGATCCAAAGCTGGAGAAATGCCTTGCCGACCCAATGCTGAGACAAAAAACCACGTCGTTGGGAAAACAAACCGCTTTTGAAGCTTTGACCCAGTAGGGTTTAGGGTTTAGGGCGTATGGAGCTATAGTTGCTCATGGATCAGTAGTCATAGGTGGTGAAACTTGGGACAACATCCACGCATGCACTCTTGCTTCTCCATCATTCTCACTCCTCAAATTGCCCACACGTTGGGCGTGTAATCTCTTTACGCTTCTGGTTGTATGGACTGCGAAAGGACTGAGATTGGATTCGCATCTTACATGGAGTTCTTTTTTTTGCCTGACATGGAGTTCTGAAATGAAGTTCTCCTTTTTTAAAGCGCTACATTATTGCCTCCAGTCGATTACGTGAGGAATGTGCCCTCACTGGGCCCTAGCCAACATGCACATGATATGATGGGCTGTGGGCCCCAGCAAACATTGTGCCCACCCTAAGTGAAGGTGAGCCTGAAAATCCACGAGAGTCCCTTGTCTCAGCATTTTCCAATGTGGGTATCAGACAGTTGCAGCACGCCAGTTGGTTGAAGTGGAACGTGAGCCTCTCCCTGGGCTCCCGCCAGAGACAGCAGCTGCGTCAAGCAGTTGAGCCCAGGGCCGGGTGGTTGCACCTTGGGCACACGCAGTGTGAGGCCAACACATCACGAAGTGGCCACGGGCGAATCAGACAGCAGCATTGTCGTCACAGAGGCGCAGCGAGGAAGACGGCAAACACTTGGAGCCTGGAGGCTGCCTGGACGTGCCCCCAACCAGAAAAGGGCCCAGGCCCCCAAACTGTCGGACAGGGCCTGGGCGCAGACACTGGGGCCCGACTGGAAGCTACGGGGAGCTTCCTCAGCCGCGCCCACACAGCCAAACAGGGCTGCGACTTCCATATAGGAAGGTCGCTGGACAGGCTGAGGGCATTCTGGCCTAGGCAGGCAATGCGGACACGCTGCTGTGCTGTTGCACAAGTGTGTGCATGTGCGCTGCTGGCTGGGGCGCATACGGGCGCTATAAGGTGAGAGGGGTGCTGCAGGGCAGCGGGTGCACGCAGCCATGGCCGGGATGCCGGGGCGCATGCGGATGTTGGGCGAAGGTGGTCTTCGGGAAGGAGGCACATGAGTGGGTGGTCAAGGTCTGATGAGGAGAGGAGAGAGAACGTACCTGGTGTATGTGGGAGGTCGGCATTGGTGTTGAGGTCATGTACATTGGTCTTCAACGTCGGAAGTGATCCTGTTGCACACATGTAGATAGGCTAGATAGGCTCAGTAGAGTAGGCTGGGCACTGGGCGCCAGACAGAGAGATGAGCGACATTGGATACTGTGTTGGTGGGGCCTGAGGGGGATAACATTGTCACACTAGTTCACTGTTTGCTCTTATTTGGATGGAATCTTGGTGCATTTGAGCTCTCTGCGTGGTACATGACTATCTGGACTTCTGTGTGATTTCGCAACTTGTATTTCTGTCTATCGCTCTCGCTCATATTCCTTGCAATCGGGTGATTCTTACCATGTATCCTACTGCCCAAGAGTGGGTGTAACTTTCTCTTCTTTTCAATTACTGCTCTTTTTCTTATGCCTTGAGCCCAGTAGCTTGACATGAGCTTCATTGAGGTTTTCACTATGTCAGGAGTAAATACATGACGTTTTTACGTATTTTTGGACGGAATTGCGGCTAGATTCATCCAGGTATGGCCGTGAATGCGGTCAGAATCCGTCAGATACATTTGAGATACTGCTAGTGTCAGTACGCCCTAACTTACTGCCCGAGTAAAAATCTGTTTTTAGGATTTGTAGAATTTTGCACGCATTCTTTCGATTGTCGAGTATTGGCCTTTCAAAACAGAAGTAGACAAAGAAGAACGTCTGAGGTTGTCTCTATAATAATAGTCTATATCGAGAGAAGAGAATAGCGCAGGGCATGAAAAAGCTGTACCCCGTATGACACGCAGAGTCGCAGACATCTTTTCTTAAATAAATATTTATCTATTTATTTTTTAAAGAAGAAGAAGAAGAAGAAAGATTGTCCTTCGTGACATCCGTTAACATTGGAACGACACAGAGAAGATTAGCATGGTCCCTGCTCAAGGATGACACGAAAAAATCGAGAAATGGTCCAAATTTATTATTAAAAAAAAAAAAAGAAGAAGAAGAAGAAGAAAGAAGAAAGAATGGGTGTTGGCTGCTTTCCATTCCTTCCAACCTGTCCTGAAGCAACGTTAGTGTTACGTTGTCTGTGGATCTGTTGTGTAACGCACACCTGTGCATGTGCGGCGTCCTTTTTTTTGTTCCTTGAACTCCACTCCTTTCAGATTGGTGAAGTGGGCTTTGGCGACTTGATTTTGCCGGAGAACGTCGAGAAACCAAACCACATCAGGAATTTGTCAGACGCACACAACAGCGCCGTTAAGTCTCTGCAGTGCTCTCCATTCTTCGAAGACATCCTGCTTTCCGTTGGGGACTGGACTTTCAACATCTGGAAAACCGGAATCTATGTGAGTTCGACGAACTGGTGACCACCACCAGATTCCCTGGCTATTCTTTTTTTTTCAGAGGGGCACTGTAGCAACTCCACAGGTTTGGCTGG